ATACACGCTTTTATTCTGATATCCTGCCATTGCAGTAACTAATAAAGCGCTGTTTGAAAAACAAGCAAAGAATGCTGCACAGAAAAGAGTGTGTGTTGTTTTAAAATAGAACAGAAAGCTGAAATGCATCTCTCGTTAACGCAAAACATCGAACTTGATGTTAGAGGAGAAGTTTTATAACGAAAAACTGAATGTTTCATCTTTCAGAAGACCTGAAGTAGGTAGTTGGGTATAAAACAATTAAAACTGTATCAAAAGAGCTGATGTAAACAATGCTTCAGGAAGAGACGACATCATTAACAATATGCTGAAGAACTTACCGAAGCTTCTTCTTCAGGAAGATTGACCATTAAAGAACCGCAGGGATCCTGATGGTAGATATCGAAAAGGCGTTGAGCAGATTGTAGCGAGATGAACCCGTACTAAACTGATTTGAGAACGGAAAATTGAGAACTTCCAAAAAAAAACTATGAGGTTTTCTTCCAGGTTAAATGAGCCACCAACTAGACTAACTAGACATCAAGTTACAGATTGAAAGATTGGACAAATACCTCATCATTTTGGAAACTTTTCAGGTACAAATAAAACAGCCTCACATGGAATAAACTCGGCAAATTTATATTATTTACCCAAGGGCAATTTTCCATTCCCTAAGGAACACCAAATATATTCCGCTTTAAAAACTTCATTTAAAATTCGGTTATCGTCAACAGGTGTTTTCGTTCCGATGCATTAGCATTAAACACGAAACATTTACACGCAAAAATGGCTCTGAAATGCGAGTCTATTTTTGAATGCAAATTTCGAAATTATTCTCAACTTTGCGCCATATTAGCGTCGAGCATGGACGGCAGAAAAACTAAACTTTGCTAGCACATCTGCGGGAGCACAGAGCCTGCTGTTTTCAACAATTTCAACTTTTTCAAACTCGAGCTCGAAATTAGGGTCGATGCAGGAAATGTGGGTATATTTAAAGAAGCAATCGGTGCATAAATGCGCCCGAGGAATCGCATCGGAAGCGTTCAAGCAAACCACTTCTGAAGATGCAAGCCCCTCTTGCTTGCGAAACGTCAAGAAGAAATTCTACCGAATGACCCACCCGAAAAACCCACTAGTTTCAAGGAATGGCCTCGAAAGTCTATCTCTTTTGATATAAACTGAGAAGTTTCTTCAGCAGCATGTTAAGGTAGAAGTTGTGGCAAAGCTGCTGACCATTAGTCAAAGTTAGAAGTAGATCTTATTTCACATAATGTATGCTACAAACCGAAAGTCTTACCTATCTAGAATCGACATTCGACTGCTAATTGAATCGCTGCGCGCAAAATATATCCGAAAATCAATGTTTCAGATAATTAAATTGATCATAGTCGCACGAATTTTCCCCTAATTGCAATTTGCCGTCGGCTGAACGTTAATTGGAAACCGTTTCTGAAGTTTGAAGATGTCAAATTGGTGTGTCGCTTGGGATAATCATGGCACAGTTTACAAAATCATTTTAATTACGAACGTCTTATCAACCGAATTGAGAATATTTGCCCAAATCTGCAAATTTACCTTGTTTGTGCAATTATTTAAATAAACACCAATTCCCTCGAACGTTTGTATACTTTATATTCGAAAAGTTTTCCAGTTTCAGTTTGCGCGAAAGGAGGATAACGATTTAATTAAACTTATCATTTTGATAAATGTGTTAAGTTTAGACGCGCTAGTAGTTATGGGTTTTAATTATTAGAATTTATTTCTAACTTCAAATAAATTTTGTTAAGGTCTAACTAATATACGAGCGCGTTTTTCTGGAGCATCCATTTCCGAATCCATTTGATGCTAAATTGTGGTTTGTAGGAGCTTTTTGTTACATTTTTTAAATTTTCATAATCTCCTTATTTCTTCAACCAGATGGACTCAGTTGTGCAATTATCAATTTGTCAAAATCTTACTAAGAATGGGTTTGAGACGTCGACTAATGAAGAGCCTTTGCGTGATCATTTTCCATTACAATACTTTCGTGAGTCATTTTGAAGCCTTTAAACTTTGCATTCGATTGCAATGTAGGCTTTATCATTGTATTGCAGATATCTGCCGCTCACTTAAAATGATATTCAACAATTTTGCATCAGTAATGTTGAAAATAGCTGAATAATGTGGATACAAATAATTACACAAACACAACTGGACAAGCATAATTTGATGAGGACATTCGGAAATCTATCTGAACTGTCTCTAAACGAAATCACAATTTTTGGGTGGTTGACAATGAACGAATCAAAACGAAATTGTTCAGTTTGATCTTTGAAAGAGTTGCCCGATTCGCAATGATTGACCAGAAGCAATTCTGAAAAAGAATCAGTTGAAGAGATCGCCTTCGAAAACGTTGACAAGCAGCTGCAAAAGTCTCCGGCTCATAAACTCTAAAAAGAAAAGAGCTAAAGTTCGCCACACAGCGGCTAGTCAACAACTCTCTTGTAGAAACTGGTATAAAAATAGATATTTGATTAAATGCTCTACTTTGATTCTGACTAAAGTTACTTCTGTTCTACTCTGAGAAAATAGAAGCCCCTCGACAGAGGCAATGTGAAAACAAATATTGCAATATATCCATAAACAAACATGGATTTTCCATGTCTAAACAAAATAATTAATTACGGATTTATTTAATTAGCTACATTGTTGATTGAATTTATTAGACAGTTATTTGAGTAATCCTCATGATTGGTTATGCATTATCTGTGTATGTGGTCCATATACTATTTTATATGGATTTTCCTATTTGAGTTCAACAACAATCGCTTCAATTTTTAATTTTGGCATGTAGCTAACGCGAGAAGCACCATTATATTTGAAATTTACAAATAAACTCGCTGCAGTACAGGTTTTGTTTATAGAAATTTCATAATTATGGCTAACTGAAGTTCGAAACCGCTATTGTGCGAAATTTTAAAGCAAGATTGAAAAAATCCATACTAACAAGGCTTCAATTACTATTAGAGCGTTTATAATTTCAAACATATAATGTAGAGATGAAGGGCAGAAAATCAATGAATCTTTCATGCTTAGAATAAATCGATTAATACAGATTTTTACTACGCCTATGGCCAGTTGATTCTACTCTTTGCTCGGTGGGGATGGTGTCGTTTGAGGTTGGCGGAATGTGTAGTTTTCTCCATCCTTACCTTAAAGATGATCACTTGAATCACGTGAAAATTTTCCTGAAGGGTCCATGAATTAAGCCAAAAACCGTTCACAAACTTCAAAGAAAATCGCCATTTTTAGGATAAATTTCAAGCAGTGTTGCCAAACTGTGCAAAATATTTTTCCTGTTCCTGAAAACTGTTTCCTTTGATACCCACCATGTAGATTCATTCAATTGGGGTTAGATAGGGTTCTATAGGCACTAGCGACCATGCTAACACAAACTGAATTAAATGGTTCATTCATTTTGAAATAATACTTTTTATTCATCGTTACACACAAACTGTTAATAAATGGGTGAAATACGTGGCAACACCGCATTGTTTTGAATTCTCCAAAGAAATATAAAAAATCCAGCAACTGGTTTCGACATGCTACCTGACACATAACCTCAAGCAAAAACGAGGTCGGAAAAGATGCTCAGACTTTTGCAAAAAACGGAATTATTATGCATTTTTGCGACGTTTTTGCACGTGGAGTTATTGTGGAGTTACGTGGAGATCGCGATTTAGGAGCAAATATAATTTTCGTGCATAAATAAGTGGTTTTGGAAACTCAAATTTCAAAAGTTTGTGAGTGTTTTTTGCCCTAATTTATGGACCCTTCAAGAGTAATTTTTACTGAGAGTGATCTTTAAAGTAAAAGTAGAGAAAACTAGAAATTCCGAGAACCTCAAACAACACCATCACCTCGGAGGCATATTAGCCCGATTTATTTGCCAATGAATTTGCAAAATTATAGATATGAGCGTAAATCGTGTTCATTCATTCAATCGAATTCATTTGCAAAATATAAATTGTACAATTTATTGCGAGCTTAGAGCATGCTTGGAATTGTAATGGAGTTTTTGAGGTGACGAACGCAAAAAACAGAATTAACTTATTGAAATGTATGGCAGTTTTACTGAAATTGCGCCAATTTCCTGTCAGAACAATACCTAAGTGAAAATGACCTTTGATAAATTCGCCAATTTATCGGACAATAAATCGGATAAAAGTTCCATCAGGATTCCTAATCTCCTGTTAGTTTGCATCTCCTACAGAAGCTTGTCTGTACATCTGTATCTGAAGGCGTTTGAAACAATACACTTTTTTGCGGTTTAAAATACTGAATTTCCTTTGGAATCCTAAAAATCTTTCATTCTCTATTTGCAATTCATAAAAAAGTAAAGCTTGTTTCTCTAGTGGATTTAGCCAAACTGATAAAACGGGGTTTTACTTGTTTCATCAGCTAAGCAGTAAACACAGTAAACTGCTTAGCAAGACTGATATGAACGAACGAAAAGTTGACGAATATTGTAGATAATTTATATTTTTGTATTAACTTTTTTTTGATCAAACATTTTCGAGAACAGTAGTTGGATCGCTAGCACCACCTCAAGGTAACACTTCAAAAACATTCACATATACCTACTAACTGCGAATTTTCTTATATGTGACGCACTGATGATAGACTTTCTATAAAGTTAAAATACGAAACTTATAAATACTTTAGTTTTCGTTCGAGAACGTGAAGAAATCTCGGGTTCCTTTCTCGGGAAAAAATGTAAAAGCACACTGTTAAAAGAGTTTTTAAACAACTGGAAGCAGTTTATAATAAATAAGTCAACGGGAAAATTAGACGACCTCTTGCAGACAGATGAAAGGATCACGGAGCCTGATCGAAACACGAACAACACGTTCTGAAAATAGTGTTGTAAAGTTAGTGTAGTTTACACTAACGCTAATTAAATGAGTTCGGATCAGAATCAAACTGGTGTTGAGACAAACCCACTATTGCTAACGATCATCGAGAATAATATCAGAACTTACCAATTCTTATAACCGGTGGTAATCCTCCAGAAACAATGGCAATCCAGACAGTCATTAATAAGACCAAACTCTCCATGGTACTTTGCACTATTCCCGAACGCACGTTTAAACTTGCTCACTCCGCGAAAACTTCATTTTCTTGGCCGGAGCACGATCAATTCGTCCGGAATATCCGAATAAATACAGTCCATCTAATATTTGCTTAGGACTGACGTACACTGCGGCCAGATTGAATTGGTTTATTTACACTTCGGTGTTAGTTAAAGTTTGGTTAGCAATGGATACACAGATACGGTTGAATTAGCACTGAGAAAATTCGACTGGATGTTGTAGAATCGAAGCCCCTTGATCTGCAACAACAAATAAATATGTAGGACGTGAATGAAGTAGGAAAATTAAATTTGAAGAGCTGCCCACTCGGTAGATTTCATTAGAAGTAGCTTCTATCATTTGTGAAGTAATTTGTGTTCATTGTTCCACAATTTTATATATTTGGTGAAAAGTTTTAGTGGTGAAATTCGTCATTCCCATTGATTTCTTAGGGAAATTCAGAGGATCAAGTCGAGTTCAGTTCTTACGATGTTTTCGACGTTTTTGTGCATGTGACTCAAGCTGATTACTTTTGAGCCTTCAACAAGTTTTCAGTTTGAGAAACACACACAATTTAAAATACAAGTTTTTGAAAAGTCCATTGCTCCTTCAAAAAACGACGGTGTCGCGTTTCGGGTTTCACCTTGTATTTCCTTACCTATAAAGAAAAGCGGGAAACTTTATATTCTCTTAACAAGTGAATAAGCACAAATTGAGAGTATATGTTCTGGGTGTTGAATGATAAATCGGTGAGATGGAAAGAACTTTTTTATTAAACAAACCCTCGGTACAAACCGTCTGTAATATGCTCTTTTATAGATAATAATGTAATCAAATTATTATATGTCACTAATTAATTATTGAATGATTTTATAAATTAAAAATGTGAACACACAGCACATTTTTCAATGGGGGCAAACATTGTATCCCGCATGTCAGCTTCAGGCAGCAGAAATCCCATGTAAAATAAACTTTAATTTGTTAATAATTGTCGGTAAATAATTAACCGTATTTTGCGAAACAGGCCACGGCAAAGCTACCTAAAATTATTATGCATAATAGATATAAAGTTAACCCGGGTATTTCAAAATTGTTTACAAAGTTCTCGGGCCTTTGTAATTTCCTTGCGGCGTTGGTCGCTGTTTCGACGCTTAAATACAATGAATTCGACGACTTATCGCTGAGTTTAGTCACGTTGGGCTTTGAACTAATTTTAAAATTGATCAAGTTTCGGAAAGTTCTAAAATCGGTTTCCCAAAAGTCAACCGCATGCGTGAAATTTTGAGTCCAAAGTAAATTTTATGAAGCTAGAGCTTGACAACACTGATAAAGTTTTAAATTTAAAATTACATACACTTAGCTGTTTCTTTCAAACGTTTTTTCGCTACTTCACGGAAATATTTATTACTGACTCTTACATGAAGCAAACATATAGTTTGGGCGAATTATTTTCTCAAAACGTGCTTGAATAATTGGACAAAACTAGGAAAAAAGTACAATTAATTATCACATTTTTCATAACATAATCTAGAAATTCAAAACTCCCATAACAAAACTACAGATTAAGTATATACACATCATTTTTTCCACACGTTTGGACGTAAAGGCGCTTTTAGCTCCACCTGGCATTTACATCATCATGTTAATTGAACGGCTACAGATGAGGAGTGTGTGCCGCAAAAGGAACATGTATGTACTATACAAACCCGAATAACTTCAAAACCAGCGTAGAAATAATCTATTTTGAACACATCGCCACTGAATAACCGGCGAATATTCGCGAATTGTAAATTACAAATACAGGAAATTGAAATGCATGTTCATTTGCAGGCACACTCTTGAATATTTTTCGACTTTGCCTGACACGTTTCGGCCAATGGTCGGATTTTTATTTTTATTCACGTACAGCGGCGGTTTACAAAACACAGACTCTCTAATTCATACCCGGAAAACAAAGAGAAATTCAATCAAAGGAAAACTTGTAAAGGCAATGAGAGCAATTGAAACTGAATTTTCTCAGCATGTCTTAAATTGTACATCATTTTGAATCTCCCCGACCCGAAGAAGGCATTAATCAACAGATTAAGCAAACAAAAAATCTGCAAAGAGCACTTTATGTGATTTGTAAATTTTTGGCGCAAAGCTCGACGCAGAGACTAACATCGTCCTACTCATACATTTTGCGTATTTCGGATTTAACGATTATTAAGGTTAATCATGAGGGTTTGCATTACTAGTGAGTGAAACGGTATTATCACATAAATAATTGCTGATAATCCGCGTCTGCTTTGAGTCCGTTTGCCTGATTAAACTCATAAACTGAATTCATTTTAAAATTATAACTGTTAGTTCTTGAATTGGCTGCATAAATTGCATGTAGTCGAACTCATGAAATTCATTTATTCAACATCCGCACAGCAAATCGTTTTTAACTGGCCACTAATTTGAATGCAACGAGTCGAATGGAGTGATGCGATGAAAATAAGGCTAAACTATCTGTCATTTTGTACATTAAGCTGCCTACTAAACAAAGCAGTTATATTCATTTAAACTTTGTATTTGCTGTACGATAGCCATGAAATTCTGCATGAAGCTCACTTTAGTTTGAAAACTAAAACGTATTTTGCTTGGTTTAGGTTAATATTTTATCTTTAGCTTAAAATGGATGTTTTCTTTGTGCAGAACTGAAAAAGTGTAAAACTCCTAAAACTAAAAAGAATGTCAACCTTWGTAAAGGTGCATAGAAACTTAATTTAAAATTCTTGTGTTTCTACCGCTATTTTCCGGTCGCGAAAGCTAAATGTGCTGATCCTATTAATAAAACATGCATGTGTAGAGGAAATGCCGATAATTAAAAACATAATTTGTGAAAAGATTTCGCCTTCCTGCTGTGCWAAGGTGGGTAGGAACTAGAGCTGAAATATATAAAAACGTTAAATGCAGATAATGGGATGTATTTTTAGAAGGCRAAAAATGGTTCGAAATTGGAGAATCTTTTAGAGTTTAATTAAAATTAACCCCATCAACCGAATGGAAAAAGAAAAGGCATAGCAAAAGCTTAAAGTATCCAAAACTAAACGAACCCGAAAATGGTTAGCTGAAGTAATAAATATCAGCCACTGGAAGTAGTGGAACTTTCCGGCAACCGTTGGAATTTGGGCTTTATTTGCTAATTGTTAATGACAAGTTGAAAACTGGAAAATATGCTAAACAAAATCTTGAACTTTTACGAATATTTTGCTTTGCAAGCCAGATGCTTTGCTTTGTTTCCTGTCCAAAGTAGAGCAGGCAATGGAGAAAAATCGTCCGGCATAGTATTTATTTACTGCTACCATAATAAATTTAATGCATTTTTAAAGTAATTACACTAGAATAATTTAATATACAAAAAATGTGTAAATGCCTATATCAATTAGCAGAACGCAAATAATTACTTGTTTTGTTTATATTGTGGTTAAACATGATGCAGATATAAATAAACACGATTCCTGCGGTAAAGCAAACCGTCGTTTTTGCATGGTTAATTAAAATTTGTACCTTTGTTTTAGCTGAATTATTATAAACCTATTATACTGTGGTGATTATGTGTCTATTTTCACTGTGTCAAGTTCTGAGGTTTCAAATGTTGCCCCCTGTGGAAGAAAGAAGGAAAATCGAAAACTCCTTTCCTCAGGAACAAAAATGAAAGAAAATTGAGGAGAATATTAAAGAGCACCAACAACTTGGCATTGGTTCAGTTTTATAAGTTAATCTGAAAGTGAGACATTTTCTACGAGGAAAACTGCCTGAACTCTCCATTAGATAGAGATCGAAAAAGTTAATCAATTGAGTTAGGAAGAAGAAATAGGCTAAGCTCTAGAAAGACTAAAGCCAAGTAGCTTATGTAGCCTAAGCTACATTTGGGAACAAAATTTTTTAATCAAATAATCCGGGTTGGTGAGTGATGGAACCATTTGATAAAACGATAACATTCACTAGACAGACGCTCAGCACGTGATAAAACTGAACATGTTTTCCTCAAATTTTCAGACCACCGGTTGTGCCTCATCTGTGCTAAAAGACTTTGTTTTCACGTGCTCGAAATGTTCGCAGAAGCGATTCGGCATGGCTAGCAAAACATCCACAACAAGAATCCACTGTGTCCCACATCTTGGGTTCTCAAGTATATTGCAGGTAATTTAAATTCGTTTTAATTAACTAAACGCCGATAGAAACAGGCCGAATGTTTCATTGCAGTTCAGCGGAAAGCTGGCTAGTCTGCCATTGAAAAATTGCACAGCAAGATTAGAGCATCTGCAAACTAACGAACTGCAAACAGGATGCTTGGGACTATAAATTTAAGCGATCGGAAGCCGTAGGAGCATCGCTAAATTTTTGCTTGTCTGGATAGTAGATAGCCAGTTTGAACGCAAATTTTACACTTGGGGTATGCTGGGAGTAAAAGCTATTTTTGGCCTACAAAATTTAGTTTTTTTCCGCCAATCCTAAAGCTAATATTATATGGTGTTTGTTATGTGAGTTTTTTGCCCTGCTGCTGTCTTAAGAACAGTCCTAAAGTGGAACAACTACTGAACGTTTCACACTGCAACAAACTATACAAATGTCTGATAAGGGAAAGTTCAGTACGCTTTTTGTCTGATTTTGCGTAACTTGCTACTTGTAAGTTTTAAATATACCAGGCTTCAAAGTGGTTAATTCAGGCTATGCATAATGCAAGTTAAAAATCTTTGTTTATTACAATTTCATCATATTTGAGAAATTGAGGGAAACAAACGCGACAAATTTAATTAAAATCTCGTCACTGAATGCAACAATTGTTGCATTTCAACAAAAACCGCTGGGATAAACCACAGTGCAACAACGACAGTGTCAGTTGCAATCATCCTGTTTAGTTGGGCCGTGTGAGTGAATTATATGGTTATAATTATTATTTGCTTTTCGGGCTTTCGATGTGATGAGGAAATGGACAACCAGCAACTTCAAACGAATCGTTACTGTGCCATTTATGCAGAACCTACCGAATTTCATTTTGGAGTACGATTATTAAAACTTGAAAGTATGCGCCAGAGCACTCGAAAAGGAAAAGTTAAACATTGCAATCGCTAAATAACCAAATGGCAAATACACCATCGAACGCACGCGATGATTGCTTTTATTTTCGCAGCTGCATTTTATATAGTATTATCAAATATGCAGTGTCCATACAGATTCGTATGAGCCACATTTCCTGCTGGCAAACGCCTTACTTCTAAGG